AAATATATAATAGTCCACCTAATATTCCTATGGTTCTAACATTGGTAACACACGTGGACCCTCCTGTATTCAACTATATTATCATGTACAATATGTATGTGTTTACACGAGAATATAATCCATTTCAGTTCGTGACGTGCCTAACTTTGAAAAATCAAAAACCATAGAAAAAAGCCTTTTCGAAAAAAAAACACAAGGTCAAACAAATAAGAAACTTAAAAAAAACAAAAATTAAAAAATTATCATGTGCGACGTCAATTAAAAATATAAAAAGACCTATTTAAAACAACAAAAAGCCAAGGCTTCCATCATTTTTTATCATGTGCCACGACAATATATGATTTTTTACATTATTTTAAATAAAGGATCTGAAAAAACGTTTTTCCAAAAAAAAACAAGCAAAGTAAAAAATTAAAAATTAAAAACTAAAAACTTAAATTAGCAGTTGCCACAAAAATAAGTCTCATAAAAAAAAAAATCCAAACAGAAATTAGCATTTGCCACGTAATTTGGAATTTTTATAAAACACATGAAAACCCATTTTTCAAAAACAAAAACAAATTAATGTATAGAAATAATAAAAAATGACAATTTTGTAAATTTAAAAAACAGAACCACAAAAATACGGCTCATCCGAAAAAATAAAAAATAAAAACATAAAACCAGAAATTAGCATTTGCCACGTAATTTACAAATAAATAAAATACATGAAAACTCATTTTTTAAAAATAAAAACAAATTAATGTATAGAAATAAAAAAAATGACAAAACCGTAAATTAAAAAAAAAGAACCACAAAAATACGCCTCATCCAAAAAAATAAAAAATAAAAACATAAAAACAAAAATTAGCATTTTCCACGTAATTTACAAATAAATAAAGAGTGCTGCTATTAGCACCTACCAAAATTCTTTGGACCCCCCATTTTTTTGGACCCCAACGCTAAACCCTAAATTTTAATAATATTTTTTTGGACACCCCACTTATTACCAAATCTACCAATGTTCATAATATTTTCACAATGAAATGCACACCCACCTAATTTTTCATCCATCTCCTTCCTTGACTCACTCAATCTTCAGAGTTTGGAGCTTTGGTCCAATGTAGAATTCTTGGACCCCAACCCTCAATCACTCTCGTCGCCGTCTCGGCCGTCAACGGAGCATTCCGATGACTCTCATCTTCTCTGAACGCTCTCTGTGATATCCTTGTTCCGTAATATGTTAATTGGTCCTTAACATGAATGTGATTATGTGTTTCATATGATTTTGTGTGTCATTATGTGAAAATATGTGGTTTTGAATTTTTATCTGTTCACCGTAGGAATATCTGTTTGATTATCTGCTTTGGAAATTAAATTGAAGGCCTTATTGGCCACATAAACCAAAATTGACTACGCCATTGCGATTGGCATAATTTTTAGAGCCTACGATAAAATTTGATTGAAAATTGATTTGGATCAGATTAAATTGATTTAATTAATGGCATAGTGCTTAAATTATTTTATATTAAATAATTATGGTTAGTGGGGCTTGTAAAGAGAGGCACTATACACTCTATTCACACACTTGAGCTCAAAATCAGATCTTGTGCCTTAGAAAGAGAGAGGGCCGGCTATAGAGAGAGAAAATGAGAGAATTGTGTAATCTTGGCTCAAGGTTTGGGGAATTTGAAGATTAAACTCAAGAATTTGCTATAGTTTGGAAGATTGAGCTCTTAGGTAAGGGAGTTCATGAGTTTAATGTGTAATATTGTGAATTCAAGTTTGATTGATGGTCAAGAACATGAATTAGTTTCATTATAAGGAAATTGAGTTGATTTTGTTGTATTTGAAGTCATGGAATGCATGCATGTGCATAATAGCCATGAATTTGTATAGTTGAGCATGAAAAATATGATCCATGTAGAATTGTGGCTAGAATCCATGGTTGTGACCACCATTTGTACAATTTGAGTTGAAATGGAAGTTATATCTCACACGCATGTACCATTCATAAGAAGTATGAGCTTGAGTGCATGAAATTGTTATGTTGAAAGTGAATTTGGTGTAGATTGGGACATGCATGTGATTAATTTGTGAAATTGAGCTCCTTTGTGTTGTAATTTGGTGTTGGTACCATGTTAGTATATGATTATGTGAAGTTTGAACCAAAAGCATGCATCTAGAACCATTGAATGTCGAATTTGAGCTCAAGAACATGTTCTGGAAAACCCAAAAAATTTGATGTCCGCTCGAGCGGGGAAACCGCCGCTCAAGCGTGAATTTCGTGCTCCTAGTATTTTCTGCAGACATGGTGTCCGCTCGAGCGGGGAGCCATGTAGAGAGGCCTTCTGCTCGAGCGCCAGAGTTCGCGATCGAGCGTAAATTTGACGTATCCAGCACTTTTGTAGGCCTCAAGGGTCCGCTTGAGCGGGGACCCCGTTTTCTGAAATTTTGAAAAGACATTCTCTGTTTCATTTTCTGTTCTTTTTCACTTCCAAGTACTCTTAGGCATGCATTGAGCATTGTAATTGAGTTAAAGAGATAAGAATGAAGCCTAAAGAGGAAAATGTGAATTTAGAATAGATCAAATTGTTTGTGACCCTTTTGTGTTCATAGAATGTGTAGGGTCGAGCTCCAGGGTAAACCAACCAACCAACCGATCATTGTGAGTAATATCTTAACAGAGATATCTGAAATATGTTATTGTCCAATTACTTACTTCTATGTAAGTTTTATAAGTTCATTGATTCGATTGGTAGACAATGTTTGCTATACCAAATGAGTGGGCCAGAGGCCAGTCTGATCTGAATAATAGAATGAATGGGCCAGAGGCCGTTTTGATATGAATGGATGGGCCGGAGGCCGTTTTGACATGAATGAATGGGCCGGAGGCCGTTTTGACATGAATGAATGGGCCAAAGGCCGTTTCGACATGAACGAATGAATGGGCCAAAGGCCATTTTGTCATCTAAATGGGCCAAAGGCCGTTTTGACACAAATGAAAGTTTGAACGGCCAAAGGCCAGTTTGTTTAGAACCGCAGTCACTTGACCTAAATTATGTATATATGTTAAATAGAAATATGAATTGGGCTTAAGGCCGTTTGAAGCATGTTGTTCTACATATCGTCTGTATAGCTTATTTAATTAATATTATTCACTGGGCTTTCGCTCACGCTCATTCGTGTGTTTCGTAGGTGAGCCAAGAGAAGTCCAAACCCAGCTCCACTGAAGTCTAGGTGGAACAACAAAGGTTTTGGGAGAGTCAGCCCTTGTGTCTCACGCACGAGACCTGTCTTCGCCATTTTGTTATATATTTATATTCTATCATGTTGACGAGGACTTTGCATCTGTTGTATATAGTAGTGATGGGTTGACTTAGACTTATATGATCCTGTATGTACAGAACCTTATCTTGTACATATTTTATTGTGAGTTATTAATACGCATACGTATGGTTTGTTATGATGTGCCACGTAAGCACAGCTCTATGGACAAAGTTTTAAATTGCTTCCGTTTGGCCCCCATTAACTCTGTTAAAATACGTTTGGTTTGGTTCAAGGCCGTAGGTAATCTCTTGATTATTGGCCGGTTATGTCCTTAACCCACGGGGGCGGGTTCGAGTCATGACACTCTCCGTATCGTCGAATCAGTAACCTCTCTTATCCTCTCATCATCATCTTTTTCGTTGCTTTTTGTATCTTCGTCATCGCGGAGATCGATCGAAGATACTCCAATTTCTACGGGATTCACATAACCATTTACAAGATGAAGAAAAACAGAATCATCGTCTGAATCGCCATCAGAATTCTGAATGTAGGCTAAAACAATTTGTTCACCACTGTGTAGCCGAAAAAATGTATTTTGTTCAGAACTGTTTTGTCGAACAATAATGATCCTGTTAGCACTGTATGTTCGAACTAAATTTTTTCATCATTGTGTAACTTAAATCCATTCCAATTCACAACTTAAAATAACATGAATTAATTCCATTCAAAATACATAACTTAAATCCATTCCAATTCACTTTTTTCCATTCTGAGTTAGTTTAACAAAGAAAATTACATAACTGACTATCTGCATTAATGTTCGGAACCTATGTATTGAACGAAAGGATTATGTTCAGTACTGTATTACCGAACATAATTCTAACAGTCAGCAAACCAGTGTCGAACAGCTCAAACGAAACAAGAACGATCGAAAATGACCGAGAATGTTAATACAAGATAGATAAACTTATCAATAGAACACCGGGCTCACTAGAATTGTTGTCCTCGTCTTCCATTGCTCTACACAGTGAAATAAGTGATGAAGTATACGTTATACTTGAAGCAAAACTTTTAAGTTCAATAGCGTTGATAATGGTGATGAAGATGACACATTCAGGATTTAAGATGATTATGAAAATAATAGATTTAGGGTTTATGTTAGTTGGTTATGAAAAATAATAGGTTTAGGGTTCACAAACATGGAATACGCATAGTTGGAGGTGGGAGTAGGGATGGGTGTCCAATGTTATAGAGTATTAGTTCTTATTGATAGGTGGGTATTCTATTATAGGGTATAATTGTAATAAAAAAATTATAGAATGGGGGGTCTAAAGAATTTTGACAGGTGCTAATAGCAACATTCTAAATAAAACACATGAAAATCTATTTGAAAAATAAAAACAACTTATTGTATACTAATAAAAATAAATAAGACAAAAACGTAAATTAAAGAAAAAGAACAAATTAATATATAGAAAAAGAAAAATGACAAAAACATAAATTAAAAAAAAAATCATAAAAATCCGCTTAATTTCAAAAAAAAAAAAAAATCCGCTCCAATGATGCTGACGTGAAGGAGGTAAGGCAAGAAGTTGAGATGAAAAAATCACTTGAAGGGCACTTTGATCATTTATAATGAAGATATCTCGTTAAAAAAAGTCAAAAAAATCATTCAAACTAAATTTTTTAACTCTAAATTAAAAAAATCAAAAAAATCTATAAAAAAAAAACCAACGCACTTTCCTAACGGAGGGTAAAAAACTTCAATCGGCTCACGCTCACGCTCGCTCCCGCTCCGGCTTCGTGCAACTAAGGTCGAAAAGCTTCACAATCACATACCACCAGAGAGAGGAGAGAGAGAGAGAGAGAGAGAGAGAGAAGGGAATGGCAGCTGCCGGAAAATGCATCCTTGTTACAGGCCCTCCTGTAAGTACAACAAAGTCTCCAAATAGCTCTGTCTCTGTCTCTGTCTCTGTCTCTCATCGTATTATGTGCCTATGTTTCTCAGGCTGTGGGTAAAACAACTCTGATCATTAAAGTTCTGGAGACCCTTAAAACTTCTCACCCTAACTTCAAGGTTCAGGGTTTCTACACTCGTAATGCTCTCTCTCTAAACACTGGTTGAGCTACTAAGGTTTTGTTTGAATCTTGGATTTCGGAAGGAATTTGTGGAGATTCACAAATCATTATCCAAACCTAAAATCCAAACACAGCCTAAATATCTGTAAATTTCACATTTAATTCTAATTATGGGTGAGGCCGATATGAAGAAATTGGTGAAAGCTAATATAAACAAGTATTCTGATATATGAGTAAGAATCAAACATTGGATGGTCTTGAAGTTCAATCATTGTCATTCATTGTTGGAATTCATTTTTCTATATTTTGTAATCAATGCTCTTGAATCTTTTTGTGTCTATAAACAATAGGAATATTTGTATGGAAATATAATTAATTGTCTTTTAACAATGATGGAATAGGTGAGATTAGGCAAGGAAGTGAGAGGGTTGGGTTTGAAGTGGTTACTTTAGATGGTCGTAGAGGGCCCCTTGCTTCCACCACCAATTCAAGGTAACTCTTCTTCTCCGAGCTGTAGTTTTTTTGGGTTTTCCCTTAAAAATTTAGCAAATTTGTACTGTTTTGCTTGTTACAATTATGGGCATGTATGTGGTCTTTTGGCTTGCTTTTAAGTAAATTCTTTTCAAGGAAAAAATTCCTAGTAAAAATGGTTATTTAGTTTAAATGTGAAATTTGTAGCACAACTATTAGAGCTTCTGTGCTTTTTCTGTCACCTGTTGCAGTTTGGAATACCTTTTTTTTTGGCTTTAAACTAGGTTGCTGGTGTTTCCAGTTATATTAGGATAATTGGTTATTTGGCAGATCTTACATTCACTTGCTGAAGCATGAAGAACTTTTGCCAATCAAAAAAGAAACATGAACTTTGCTTCTTACATGGACAACATTTCTAAGTGGTATGGACATGATCTGAAACATGAAAGCATGAAGAACTTTTTCTATGCAAAGTGATTATAAAAACTGTTAGGTCATCAGCATGATATGATCAATCAAATACTGTTTAGTACAATGTTTAAAAATTGTTAGGTCATCGACCTGAACACATCCCAAAACAATCAAATACTAACTTTAAAGTGTTACGCACGTTAGCTCGAAAACTTAACTGGAATATTGAGCTTGTGCATTTGTGCGTGCTTGATCCATCAATTAGATGCCTTATGTATTCAATGTTAGATGTATGAAACCCCAATTACTAATGCTTTCAGAAGCAATAAGCTATTGGAACACATGTCTAGTATAAGGGATGGGCCTGGGTACAGTGGTATGGTTGCTCCATTGCGACCTAGGAGTCATGAGTTCTCTTGGATAGCTTGATATATATCATTGGGCTTCTTTCCTCGTAGATTAAGCTTTTTTGGGATTAGTGGTGCACTGGTGATCTAACAAGTTCAAACCATGGAAACAACCTCTTTGTATGCGGGGGTGGAAATCCGCACGAGTGTGAACATCATGTACTAGGACTGTCCTTTAACGGATATCCAGTAAATTTGATTTTTTTTAGTATAAATAAGCATCATGTATCGCTGATTATGTCTGATCTCAAATTCAAATTTGATCTGGATGGTTAACTGCTTATGTTAGATCTTAATTTGAATTTCTACACATCTGGTGCTAACTATTCAAGAAAACAGTGGAATATGAATCTTTAACTTGTGAGTTTTGTGCCTCTGTTGATTTAAGAACTAACTGGTGGTTTGCCTTTTTGAATAGCTGCAATTTTATAACTTCTGTTAGTCTGTTTTATCTTCTGGAGTGTAGTCAGGAGGTGTCAAACTTTGCTGATATGCACCAGATAACTTAATGTTCTCTTGTTTGGTTGTTCCCTTCATATGACTTGACGTTATAATTTTTAGTTTAAATCACTTGAGAATCTGAATGTTCATTTACCGCCGAATATTCAGAATGTGGAACAAGTTCTAACTTATCAACAATGAGTCATCTTCTGTTACAATGTTTCTATTGACATTCTTCGATTTTCAGCTAAAGCATCTTCTCCCATGCAGCCCAGAGTCTTTTAAATGGCCCACTGTGGGGAGGTACAAAGTGGATGTATCATCATTTGAGTTAGTAGCATTGCCTGAGTTGCAGGTGGGTTAGCTTGTCAATCTTTGGATTGAGGTGCAAGGATCATAATTTGTAAGTGAATTTTTTTTTTTTTTGTTCAAATGATATGAGGTCTCTGTTGTCCTCAACAGAGATTAGAGAGGGGAAGAGTGTTTTTTCGACATTGAAATCCCAAAAAGTAGATACGAGTAGAATTCACTCGTCTACACCATTCTACGTGTTTTACTCAATGCTTAGCCAAAATCAAATGATTCAATCACCGTATGTGAATTTACTTCTTGGGTTGGACGCTTGGAGCCGTTCAAAGTTTTTAGTGGTTGAAATGACAAAAGGTATCACTTGCATACTTTAGTCTACACTAGTTGATTTATGTTTTATTATTAGGTCAAGGAAGATACCGATCTCTTCATCATTGATGAAATTGGTAAGATGGAGCTCTACAGTTCTTCATTCTTTCCTGCAGTACTAGACATTCTGGAATCTAACATCCCGCTCTTAGCTTCCATTCCCATTCCAAAAGGTGGTCGAGATATACCTGGAGGTAATCTCTTTATGCAACAATTTTAAAAATATTCTCCATTGAAGATTTTCCACATCTCTGTATGTTAAAGAAACTTCTTCAAGCCTTGAAATGGAAAATCTTTAATATTGCAATTAGATGATCTTAAGTGGATATGTTCAACATGATTCGTAGGCTTTCTTTCATTTCTAGAGTGATATAAGACTGTAATGTTTGAATTTCTGCAGTTGCGAGGTTGAGAAATCATCCAGGGGCAACCATTTTCACGCTGAACACCGGCAACAGGGATGCTATTAAGGAACAAATTTACTCCCAATTAGTGAACTTGTTGCAAAAACATTAGATGTTACTTCTACATAGCACACCGTTGTCTTTTGCTATGCACAAACAGGTTCTTGTACTGGATAAGTAACTGCTACAAAATTTCTTTGCTTGATAGAAGTTTAATAAGTTCTCAGCACATTTTGTGTCCATTTCTTTTGGTATTTACAATTTCTGGTCTTTTTCTCATGTTTTGTATGCGGGGGTGGAAATCCGCACTGGTGTGAACATCATGTACTGGGACTGTCCTTTAACGGATATCCAGTAAATTTGATTTTTTTTCACTATAAATAAGCATCATGGATTGTAATTTAAATTGGATTTGGATAGTTGGCTGATTATGTCTGATCTCAAATTCAAATTTGATCTGGATGGTTCTGCTTATGTTTGATCTTAATTTGAATTTCTTACACACCTGGTGCAAACTATTCAAGAAAACAGTGGAATATGAATCTTTAACTCGTGAGTTTTGTGCCTCTGATGATTTAAGAACTAACTGGTGGTTTGCCTCTTTAGCTGCAATTTTTTAACCTCTGTTAGTCTGTTTTATCTTCTGGAGTATATGTTCAAGAGTCAGGACGTGCCAAACTTTGCTGATATGCACCAGATAACTTAATGTTCTCTTGTTCGGTTGTTCCCTTCATATGACTTGACATTATAATTTTTAGTTTAAATCACTTGAGAATCCGAATGTTCATTTACTGCTGAATATTCAGAATGTGGAAAAGTTCTAACTTATCAACAATGAGTCATCTTCTGTTACAATGTTTCTATTGACATTCTTCAATTGTCAGCTAAAGCATCTTCTCCCATGCAGCCCTGAGTCTTTTAAATGGCCCACTGTGGGGAGGTACAAAGTGGATGTATCATCATTTGAGCTAGTAGCATTGCCTGAGTTGCTGGTGGGTTAGCCTGTCAATCTTTGGATTGTGGTGCAAGGATCATAATTTGTATGTGAATTTTTTTTTGTTCATATGATATGACGTCTCTGTTGTCCTCACCAGAGATTAGAGAGGCGAAGAGTGTTTTTTCGACACTGAAATCCCCAAAAGTAGATATGAGTAGAATTCACTTGTCTACACCATTCTACTTGTTTTACTCAATGCTTACCCAAAATCAAACAATTCAATCACTGTATGTGAATTTACTTGTTGGGTTGGAGGCTTGGAGCCGTTCAAAGATTTTAGTGGTTGAAATGACAAAAGGTATCACTTGCATACTTTAGTCTACACTAGTTGATATATGTTTTGTTATTAGGTCAAGGAAGATACCGATCTCTTCATCATTGATGAAATTGGTAAGATGGAGCTCTACAGTTCTTCATTCTTTCCTGCAGTACTAAACATTCTGGAATCTAACATCCCGCTCTTAGCTTCCATTCCCATTCCAAAAGGTGGTCGAGATATACCTGGAGGTAATCTCTTTATGCAACAATTTTTAAAATGTTCTCCATTGAAGATTACCCACATCTCCGTATGTTAAAGAAACTTCTTCAAACCTTGAAATGGAAAAATCTTTAATATTGCAATTAGATGATCTTAAGTGGATATGTTCAACATGATTCGTAGGCTTTCTTTCATTTCTAGTGATATAAGACTGTAATGTTTGAATTTCTGCAGTTGCGAGGTTGAGAAATCATCCAGGTGCAACCATTTTCACACTGAACACTGGCAACATGGATGCTGTTAAAGAACGAATTTACTCCCAATTAGTGAACTTGTTGCAAAATCATTAGATGTTACTCCTACATAGCACACCGTTATCTCTTGCTATGCACAAACAACTTCTTGTACCAGAAAAGTAACTGCTACAAAATTTCTTTGCTTGATAGAAGTTTAATCAACTCTCAGCACATTTTGTGTCCGTTTCTTTTGGTATTTACAACTTCTGGTCTTTTTTCATGTTTTGTGTGGGGCTTTTAACATGGGGTTTTGGCTGATCATTTGATTTGGTTATATTTCTGCAAGACCATTACAAGCATCCAAACTATAAAAACAAGAGACATTCAAGGACAAGGGCATTCCACACTGAATGCAGGTAGGGGCAGGTAGGGCTACAAACGATTTGAGCCTAGCTGAGTAGTAGATTGTTTAAGCAAGCTTAATGAGTTTCAAAATGTATTCAAACTTGACTTGTTTACCTTTTGAGCGAAAGCCAATTTCAAACAAATTTTAATTGAGCTAGTCATGAATTGAACTTGAATTTTTTTATTTTTTATAGTGCAGATAACCATGTCGAGTTGAGCAGTAAGTTATTTCTTAGACTATAAAATTAGATTGCTTGGACAGAAAGATCAAATTAAAAACAGACTTAAAAGTGTAAGGACTATATTATTCAAATTAAAACTGAAGTGAAATTTGAGTCAACCTACATGGATAAAATACTGAAATTTGTCCTCTGGAATTCCACTTAAAAAGAGAAATACACATTCTCACAGTAATTATCCACACAAAAATGCATTCACAACACTCAAAAACCAATTTACCAAACACTGCTGCATCTGTTTTTGCTTCCCAAATAAATGTACATGAAAAAAATTCAAAGAAAAAATAATCACAAAACAGATGTAATTACATTCCAATAATTATATACATTCCGTAGGGATCATGAGCTTCGTTTATCATGTTCGGCTATTCGCAGGACCTCTTTGGCCATTGAAGAAAACGATCGGGCTGTATCCTGCATCTCTGTAGTTCTGAGGCTAATGCCCTGTCCAAATATACAAAAGCTCATCACACAAACAATAATAAACACCCAAAACTGTATGCTTATCGCAAGGCTAAATAAGACCATTGGTATGTAGCATTAAAAATGGTGATACCATGCGTGACGTGATATTATCGATGCACTGTTGTATTCAAATTTATTATTTTCTTTCATTATTAATTTTTTCACAAACTAGATGTAGGAATTTGAAACTTAAAATGTTCATGGATACCTGCAACTTCTTCACATTTTCGCCCAATTTGCTTTGTGCCATCTTTGCAGCACTAGGATCCTGCACCCAAAGATGGAAATAATGCCTCCTACTGGAACATTATATGTGAAATTAAACCTAAATATAAAGCTTAAAAGTAGTGGATCTTATCTTATATCCAATAAGAATTCCAGTCCTTTCATTACTTCATAATCATAATAATAGTTTTCATGATGTTTTTGTTAACATGTATCTGATACAAAATGCAAGAGGGGAGCACAATGCATTACAACCATCTTAAACATATGACAATCAATATGGCTCACATTTCCACAATCATGACCAAAATTATTCACTGTAATTCATTTTTTTAAATGTTCAAAACAAAAGGTGATGTCTTGGTCAGATTTTGAATGTTCAGATCAGTATTAAACCCATTCAAATATATAACTAATTAACCAGCTCAAACAACATGTTGCGTGATGGAGTGCACAACAGATGATAAGACATAAATCTATTGGATGCATACTTACACCAGACATAGTAAATCCATATTTTTTCTTAATTTGATCAACTGCACCAGCCTTCTCTTCTTGTGGCTCTTCCTTTGACAGCACTTTTTCATTTTTGACCTTCATCTCTTTCAGTTTACCTGTTGTGTGAAAGTATTCAACCCACATTTATCAATGTAAATTGTAATTAAAGAACTTATGCAACAATTAAGAGAAAAAGGTTCAGTCAGCAAAGCTTGGCTAGAGGAAGCCCATGTAAGAAATTATGTAATCCAAGAACTTTACATATCTGTACAAATATATGGAACATCCAACACATGGACACTTCATTGAAAAAGTGGGACAAATAGGAAGTGGAAATTTACATGTCATCAGGATAAATCAATTTCACAAAAATGACGGTGTCTATATTGGTGCTATTATGGAAACAACAAAGGTTCATCGTGTATGTGTCCATGGAGTGCCAAAGAAATTTTGGTATCTGATCCTCTGAAGAAGTATCCATGCTAAGACTCCGTTTGGATTTCGGAAAGTAGGGTAAGGAGAAAAATCTCAAAAAAGCATTACAAATCAAATTTTCTTTCTTCTAGGATCCAGATGAAGTATTACAGTTAATAATCTCTATCTACAACAGTCAGACACATTTATGCCAAAATGATGAAAAGAGAAAGAAAAAAAAATCACAAAAATAAAAACACAAAAAACAAAACAACAAAGGTTGATTAAAAAGAAGATAGATGAACTTGCACAAGGTTGAAAACAATGGTGATCTATCATCTTCAACAAACATTTAATTGCAATGAGTAGAATCAGAAACAAAGTCATAAACCAAAGAGCTAAGGTTGATTTAGAAGAAAATAAATGAAATTTCACATGGTTGCAGACAATAGTGATTATAATCTTCAACTGACCTTTAATTGCCTGGAATTTGCTTGTGAATTTCTGTTTGTTTAGTGCTGCCATTATTGGGTGTCCTTTTGGTTTTTGTGCTGGATCTTCAATGTCAATGTCAATGTCGTCTGAAAAAACAAAAGCATGAGAGTAATGTGGTTGGAAACTAAAGAATCTAGCATAAAACTGCTTAATAGAATGAAAAGCCAAATGATAACTAATCAAGTTTCATGACTAGATTCTTCACCATCCATGACTCAAAACGGGACAAAGCTTTCTACTTCTGAAGCAGGCATTAAACAAACTCTTAACTTATTATTTTTTTTTATTCTGAGAGGAAATATTTGGTAACATGATATGCAGAACGGGGATACCTATGTCCAAGTCGACTTCATTTTCATCCATGGCCAGGTTTCCTCTGCTTTCAGCAATAGATGGAAAGTTGTCAACTGAAAAGATTGTTGAGAGTTCTTCAATATCTTCTCTTGCGCCTTGAGTATCTTCCTCAGGAACATGCTTTGGTTTACTTCCTGTCAAGCTAAATATACCCTATATAGCTCCAGTTCATTAGAATCCTTTTGTGCCACATATACCAGGTTGGGGGAAACTTCAAACAATGTAAGCACAATATTTACCTTTTTCTTTTCTTTATGGATGACAGGTGCAGAAATAACTCCTTGTGCAACTATAAGATCTTTCTTGTAAACTTGGGAAACAGAGTCCAGATGCCTATAATCAAGGGTACAGTAACAATGATATAACAGTTAAATATACAACTTAATCATTTATTAGTAAATCCTGAATTCCTTAAAAAAATGTCAAACGAAAAGAATCTCAAATTCAGAAAAGTATAGTTCTGCCAACATGCTATAGTTCTCCTGATGCATAAAATAAAAGGAACATCATCAAATGTGCATACCGATATATCTTCTTTTGGAGCAAAACTGAGACAACAAACATTTCCTGATCACCATTCACCTGTACAAGGGTGAGAACTAGAAGTTCATGTAAATATTCCAAGCAGAAATCTAAACAAGAAATATACTTATTTAAGATATACTCTCTTACGATTATAAGTTCTCCATCCCACGAACAGCATACTGCATTCTCAGAAACTGAATTTAGCTTTGGAGTAGATAATGAGAGACCCCTAATCGAAGTTTCCTTCAAAAGGGACAGTTCTGGTAGGGACCTATAATTTCAAAAAAGCAGCATTCAGGTGGATATGCACTAAATCAATTTTGTGATGCAATACTGAAAATGAAAATTCTGCAGGACTAGTTCCATTATTTGCTTTAATCATTGAATTAGGGAGGACACTTGTCCTAAATTTCCTTATTTTTCTCATTGAATATTGGGAACAATCTTGCACAAGGCTGAATGACTGCACAACTGATTCAACTTGAGATTAAAACAAAGCAATTTCAAATAACTAGATTCCTTCAGCCAAAATACATGAAATGGAAGAAAATTATTTTTTGGGAATTGTTTATGTATTCAAGGCTTCATCTTATTTTCTGGAAGTGAAAAACTGCATCTCTCATGCTGAACATATGCACTTCATATGGGGATGACAGTATTATGTAACAAAATCATATTGTAAAACATGCTAGAAAGGATGGTAAGGGTGATGATGAGAAGATCACCGACAGGGTAACTTGGCGACCCCATTCTGCCCAAAATAAAAGAATTTCAACGAGGCAGAGTCCTATATCGTAGTTTGCAAAATTACATTTCATATCTAAATTCTCTGCTGGAAAAAAAATAATTCCAGCAATGGAAGAGGAGTCCCTATTGGTCTGCAAAAATGAGCCAATTCCTGGTACATATTTTGTTTTCTCACTTACATTGTTAGCTTGATTGAATTAAATTCAGAAAATACATAAAATAAGGTTATCACCTTATTTCAATTTTTCCGTTGGAGAAGAGAAGTATAAGGCCAGCAGCATCAGAAGTGTAAAATGTTGATGCCCAGCAACAAGAAGAAGAATTAAACTTCTTTTTGTAAAGAACCTTCTTAATGCCCTGAGAGAAAAGAAAGGAAAACACACAATAAGTAACAGCTATAGCGATTCTGCATATCACAGGTGCCTGCATAAGTGATGCACAATTACCTGGACTACATGCACTAAGGAATATACATAAGTGGCTTTCTCAGAACATAGCAATACTGATAATTGCTTTGGTATTGCATCATCAATAGAGTTCCCTTTACTCAAATCTTGACCCTCCAATTTATTCAATCCTCTACCTGAAGCATCCTGCCCATCTGTACAACATTAATGTATAGTTTCTTCAGTTGATTATTAGATGTTTCAATGTTATCCACATGTATGAAAAGTCATACATCAGAAGTTGTCCGGTCAAGTAAAGGACAGCCCAGAAACCTCGAGTAAATGAGCGGTGTATTACCCAAAATCTGCATGTATAAAGCTCTTGAGGGTTTCTTAGGATGGACCAAGGCAGAGCTGAGAGTATTTCCTGTATCACTCTCAACAGCCAAAACTGATGAATCCTTTGTTGCCACGACTAAAATATTCTTCTGAAAACCATGGATGCTGCAGGTTTCAAACTGCAGAGAAATGATTCCTGTGCAAAGTTCACTTGCAATATGCTTCTGATATAACAGAATTGGCCCCTCCATATCAATCAATGAAACCTGTATGCCAAAAAAGTGTTTAACATACAGTATTTTCTTATTTAATGGCCTTCATATGACCTAAATCAATTAACTTGTTAACATTAATGTCAAAACCAACATTATTCTAATTAAGAAAAGACAATTTAGTCTGATAAGCTGCCATGTTTTAACTAAGTGATAAAATATAGTGTTATAACTTATATCCCTTCCAAGTTCCAGCTGGGTGAAAAACGAAAGGAAAAAAAAGGAAGAAGATAGTCTAAAAGGTTGATAAATATGTAGTTTGAAAGAAACTTGGATTGCTTCTCTTGGCTAGTTAATTAATGTTGGAATGAACTTCCTTCTATTTATGTCTTTACGTCTTTATACAACGGAAGGTTATTTTTGGAATATTGTTAGGAATAGTATAAATAATAGAATACAAGGGAGAGACCCGAATGTCTCTTCCCTCTTTTCATATCATATACTCTCTCTCTCTCTCTTCTTTTTATCTTCATCATTCTCTTTTCTTCTTTATACAAATTAAACTTGTATCAGAGCCATATAGCGCTATTGAATTGCAACTGAGCGAAGAACACACGAGAAAAGGAAGAAGACAAGCTTACATATCCTTGATCAGACCCAACAGCAAGATGTCTTGAGCCGGAGTGTATGTCAATAGAAAGTACAGCTCCATTAACTTTCATAAGTTTAAGACTCTGGACAATGTGATTGCTTCCTTTCTTTAAACTTCCTGTCAATAACAATTTTCCCATTAGAAATTTCAATGTGGTAGAAGTATCATAGTATCCTATGCAGTATTTATATTTCTACACTAGACGTACAAAAATTGACACAATGACAGGGCTAAGTGTCATGCATTTTAAGGTCATACTCCATAAGACCCTCAAACTCTTAGTTACAATAATTAAAAAATCTATTCTGTTGTGCAAGGCTACATTCAGCTGAAAAAAAAAAAAAAAAGTGGTTAAATTATATGAGTAATACCTTGTAGAGACATAAAACTGCTCGCTGGCATGAATGACTCAGGTTTAATCCTAAAAATGCGAATCTGCACAGCATTAAAAATAATTCACTGTTCCATTTCCAGAACTGTACACAAAAACATTTTATCAAAATTTTTTTTGGTCAAGATCAATCAACAGAGGAAACTTCACCATCCCACTTTGGTCTCCAGAAATAAGGAGCCGTGAGTTGCTATCAAAATACAATGCTGTCAGCGGTACACCACTTAAAGAGATATCATCCTCACTCTGCGAGATTAAAGGTACCATAGAATAAGCACAAGCACGAAATGAACTACTGAATCTTATTTACAATAAACTGAAAATAACAACAACCATATTAACAATAATAGTAATAAAAGAGAGAAGTGCCATTTTGGTCATTTCTGTCCAAATACAATCCCATGAACAAAAACTAAATTTTGGTCATAACAACTTTTTTGGAAACAACAACAATAATAATAGATATAATAATAATAAAGAAAGAAAGAAGAGAAAAGTATCATTTTGCTAATTTCTGTCCAAATACAATCCCACTTGTAAATAAAAACTAAATAATGCAATCTAGAAGATTACCTGTTGAAATATTGATACAACAGGGAGCATAACCGGACATGATGCGTCCCAAAATTTTATGGCTCCATTATTGTGTCCAGTTATGTACAAGTTCTTACTCTTCGAAAACCCACTAAAGTGCGTTGAGTGAGTTGCATCTTTCTGCCTCATGTCAAATGGAAATAGTGGTGGAATAAGTTTTTCCAGCATAATATTGCCCTACATGACAAGAAATATCATAGAGATCATTACTCTTAAGAATTATCATATAATGAGACACCAATGTGATGTATAACGAAACTTCTCTTTTACCTCATCACTTGAACATAATGAATATGGATTGTCTGTTATGAATTTTGCAACAGTGATGCTTGAATCAGCAAATGGAAGCTTTACCATTATCTCTTTTGGGAGTGATGGCGGGCTCCTAGATTGGCACTGTAATAAATATTTTTCAATTGCACAATCATCATAGGCATAAACATGACCTGATTTCCCAAGCAGAAGGAAAGCATCTTGTTTATGCTTGCTTTTCTCATTGGAGCTTGAAATGATTTCCATATCAACACAAGGTTCCGGCAAATGAAGCCCCAACTTAATTGTACGAGATTCAGTATGCTCATTCAATACAACTACCTGTCACGTAACAGACAGATTTTTTATGAAACAAATGAACAAATAATTAGAACTGTGACTAAAAAATTCTAGTCTCCAAAGGTCGTGATATTGAATGATTTATATAAAGGTTTATTTGTTTATTTTGAGAAGTATCAAAGGTCATAGTTGTATTTTGAATATCCCTATCCCCTGATTGACTAAGACATACTGTCAAAAGAGGAAGATTAATTGGGTGACAATTTATAACTGACAAGCCAAGAGAAGAGACTAGGTCATTATCAAGAAAGTCACGAAGCAATGAGTTTTAATAGGAGTGAAGTTTGTGATGCAGAACCATTTGTTGCACCAGAAGTAGAAAACTGAAAACTAAGAATCTAAGCTTTATGGTATAATGATAATAAAACATCCAAATACCTGCAACAAGTTTGCAGATACAATATCCGATATGCCCAGAACATACAATCGACTTGCTTTCCCATCTGCATAAGCCCATTTTAGAGATGCTATAGGGATTTTGTCCAATTTATATCCCAGATTCAGTTTACAAATGGGTGCACTTTGAGTGACACACAAGTCTTTATCTAGTGGTGGTTCAGTTTTAGAAGCTGAGGCAGGAGGAACACTCCAGATGAAAATCTCTCCATTGCTGTATCCAACAACTACTTTGCTTCCAAAGGGGCATGCCCAACATGCCGCTGTCACTTTCTTTGTCTCATGAGACGCTGTTGGCAACATGGTTCCACCAGTAGTAAAAATGGCTTTGCTTTCTTGAATTTCCCATAATGTAATAAAGCCGTCTCTATAAATTATAAGGACCCTGCATCCAAACAAAAATCACAAGAAAGTGTATGAATTCATAAACGAACACATTTAATGGACTAGGTAATAGCAAGGCTAACTTGATATGTGCTTGAATCATAAGAGCTATTTAACAAGATGAGAATGCAGATTACACTACACCAACATAGTTGTTCAGAAAATGAGAGCAATAAGGCCAGCAAGTGCTGTTTCAGAAAATTTCTGCTGGCATCAGTAACTCTTATCTGAGCCACTGGTCCGGGCTAACCAGATTCTATTAGTATGGCTCCATTCGAGCAAAATGACCTATCTGATCTAGCTGTGATGTCTTCACTGGCTGATGGGCCAGAAATCAAATGAATGAAGTAGGAAGGAGATGTTGATCCCATCATATTAAATTATATACCTTCTGATGCATGGTCCATACCCCTGGCAGTACCTTATTAAGTGATCACTTCAAGAATTTAACATGGAAGCAAATAATGGTTTTGATTAGTGTAAGGACTAAGCTAGGATAGTGGTTTACTTGACCTGCCAAAAAAGGCCATGCACCTAAAATTGTCTGTGCCAATTGGAGTCCAAAATTGACAGGCAAATCAAGTAATCTAGGCAAGATGACGTTTAACATCCTTGAAAAAATGAAAAGGATTTCCTTTTAGAAGGCAAACAGTATATTCAACTAAAGATAACTTCTGATTTTTACAAGGTCCATCTCTCTTTCTCTCATGAGAAATGGGCACGCACACCTAAAAAAATGAATCTATTAAACAAGTGCATCCGATTTGGTGGGTCAACATCACGAAAGATCATCACAACCAATAAGCACTGAATTTGGAATATCTGAAGACTAATGAAAAGTGAAAAAAATGAAGACATACTACCTCTTACTTTCAGCTGTTGGTTGAGGCAGTATGTGTGTAACAGAAGTATCACCTGCTATTTCCGCTGTATTCCCTAAATTGAAGATCAAGTTGCATGAGCTTGTGAAAAATTGAAGTACAAATTATGGAAGAAATAAACGTTGCTCAGTATGAAAATACTTAAAAACTAATCATTCATAATCACTGCATCTTGCAAGTAAGAGAAGGAACTGTTATAGCCCACACGGATACAGATGATATGTATTCAATGTTAAAAGTAATAATGCACAGTTTGGATATACATGTGAAAAAATATACTGAGTCACAAAATAAGTTAAGATGTCATTACACCGACAAAAAAACTAGACAAAAGAATACTGGTACAACTCGGTTCCGCTTCACAATCACAAACATCTAATAATATAGGATAAGCAGGAGCAAAAATTTACAAGCTACGAATATTTCTCACCATGAGATGCTGAAAGAGGGATGCAGTATTTCATTTGCACTATATTACATGATTCTTTATCAAGTTTCAAAACTGAAACATTACCGGCATAATCTCCAACATACCTGTAGATGGATACAAAATACCCATTAATAAATGCAGTGCATGCTTGTGTTTTATTTTCAATGCATTTGAAAATAAGAAACTTACATGTACAGACTAAGTTGCATGACTGTGAAAGAGGTGATTTCTTCCTTAAAGACATGTACATGAGATAAAAGCTTCTTGTCCATGTCCCAGACCTACACTACACTATGATTTCCTTTACGAACTCAATTCAAAGGATGATGCAAATATATAATTATATATATAAAACAAATACAATGTGACAGTTAAAATTAATCAATGCAATACCACAGAAAACTCTTATCGCACATTGAATATCAGAAGAAATAGAGCCAAAACTTATAAAAAGGAAGACCTTCGGCAATTAGCCAATGGAATAACTTGCCTCAATGTGGTTATTGGCATTTACATTTAGAAGGATGCCTTGGTTCTCAAAAAACTGTAAGAATAAAATCATGAATTGCATCAGTTCATCAATCAATTTTAAGCAAGAAGAAATGTTACGTGGAGATGCCAACAGAAATTATCAATGCAATGTATCACTAAGAATCACATCATGCACCAGAATCTAAAAGAAGGATGGGAAACACCACAAAACACATACCTTCAAAAACTTGCTTGGTACTGTCTCGGTAGATTCCAATATAGCTTGAGTGGAATCTTTTCCATATAATTTAACTTGGCCATCTCTGAGAACATAAACATGTGTCAGAAACAAAAATCCACACTTTAAGTCACCAAACTTACCAAACAAACTCCGGGTGTTTAATTTGGAGTGTGGTGTCATTTATATCAAATTTGATTAAACTCATTGATTATCAGAATATATAATACATTAGAAGACCGAGGTAGGATTTTTATTTTATTTTAATTTTTAACCAACCATAACAATGTTCAAATTCACAGAAAAATAGTATCACTAGCCATTACATTGTACTGAAAGAAGATCATTTATGTATTTGTAAGCATACATAAATCTTAAATATCACATTGCAAGACATGAAGCTTCCCCCAAATTGAAGAGGTACATTGCAATTATTCCAGTAGCGACAGAAACTTACTTTGTAGGGATGGCCAGAATCTGCTGAATGGAGTCATAAGACAGCAAGATGGATCCTGACGGGAGGCCATAATGGAAAACCAGACGTGGATCTATGTCTTCAGATTTTAAACCATCAGAATTTCCTCCAGGCTGCAACAGAAAAGCATTCCATAGTTATCATTAAAAACCCAGATAGAGACGATATATGTATACCATTGCGGGCAACTAGAAAAGATTAGGTACTTCTATCACTATTTTTTTAAAAAAATTTTTTTTGATAAGCAGAGTACTTCAATCACAAATTGGCAACAGGGTATTACCAAAGCGGCTAAATCATAACCCATCAATTAACAGTAAGGGTAATGAGGTTTATAGTCTCTATTAAGTCACCCACCTTGAGAACAACAGTAAAATTCTAATTCTATTCGCACCACCCAAAAGTATGGCTTCTCACCAAATGCTTATAGCTTCACTGACCAACGAAAAAAAAAAAGAGGAGAAGAATGTGCGATATAAACAAGAAGATTAAAAAAAAGCCATTTTTATTTTTACAAGTAAAATGAAGAACAAAAGTACTTGGGATTTTAGAAATTTTGACAAGTTTTGAGGGTTTATCAGCGTTCGATGGCAAAATCAAAGGTCACGGTCACAAAAGTCAGGTCTTTGGAGGGAGAAATTTTTATCTTCACGACGTGTATAATTCTTAGAGCGAAGCAAGGACATGATCGCATTGCAAAGGAAAAGATGACGCCGTCAACACATAAAACGAAGCATGACACCTCTATTAACAAACCTGTAAGATCTAGGATGGTTCCGATGGTAAAACTGCGAGGCCACTACTACGTGTGTTTGGTTTATAGATTAAAAAAGAAAAAAAAGAAAAGAAAAAAAAGATTTATGAATTTGAAAAAAGAAAAAAAAAATGTAAAGTGAATAAAATATATTTATATTTTATATTAATTAAAATAAATTTGTAAAAATTATTAATTTAATTAATAATTAAAATAAAATATATAAACAGAGTAAACATAAACTAAAATAATTAAGTAAAATAAAAAGAATATATATATATATATATATATATATGTATTTTTATAAGGTATTTCACCTAGTAGCTTGAGTTATAGCATTATTGCTTTGTTTCGCACTGGCCAGAGGGCCCATCACAGACAAAGGCCGGCCATCCCTGGGCAGATGGCACCTCCCCTGACATGGTGCCACCTAGGTCCACGCCGTGTCATTTGCAAAGTCTTTCATTGTGGGTGGTTGTGTTGTGGATATCACCGCCCATCACATGGACAAGTTGTTTTCCTTTTTGGGTTAAACACATGTCCATGTTATTTAAAAACGGAAGAAGACTTCTTTCAGTCCAAATTTGGAATTGAAAAGTGATGGTTGGATTTATGAGAGTTATTATGGTTACTGTTTTAATAATTTAAATAATTTATTTTGTCAAGTATTATATATTTTATTCATATAAAAAATTAAATCAATTTTATAAGTATAATTTATTTTTTAATAAAAAAAAATTGTGATTTTAAAAATACATTCTTTTTGGTTAAAACCACGATAAATTGAGTAAAATACAATAATTAGATTGATTTAATTTTTTGTGTAGATAAAATATATAAAATATTCGATAAAATGAATGATTCAGATTATTGAAACAAAAATTATGGTAAGCCCCATAGGCCCAAATAATGCCCTTCCATCTAAAATCTGGACTAAAGGGATCCTTCTCCTTTAAACAAAAGAGTAATGTTATTCAAGATAAAAAAATTAGACCTAAGTTTCAAGATAACAATCAATTAGGGTATTAAAGATAACATTTCCTCTCATATTTTTCTAATCATTAACCAATTATATTATTTACACATCATTGAGTCTAAAAAGTGAATTAATATACTCATTTTGTCTCAAAATATTAGTCTCTTATTTTATTTTTTATTGTCCCAAAATATCAGTCCCTTTTCAAAAATCAAAGAATAAAATAATATGAATTTACTATTTTGTCCTCCTTTTAAATTGATTAATAATACAAAAACTACAATTATGACAATTAATATTCTCAAAAATATATACTATCAAAGGATAATTTTAAAAAATTAATATTTTTAAAATATAATAATTATACTATAAAAAAAAGTTAAATTCGTCAAGGACCATTATTTTAAGAAGGAAGCAATATTATTTTTCTTAAAAAAAATCAAATTCAAATAGGTAAGGACAGTATTTAATGATGGATACCATATCGCTCAGGTCATCTATTTTCTCTTTATTTATTTATTTATCTCAATATATCGAGTTGTCAAATTATAAAAGAATTTTAAGATAAAAGAAGAACATTGACACAACCCTTATAATTGTTGAGAATATATTGAGAGAGAAGGATTCAAAATTTTAAAAATAAAAAATCCTCAGAGTAATCTTGGAATATCAGTGAAGTGGGAAACTTATTTGGAGCCTTTATTTACAAATCTCTTTTTTAACTCTTTACACTCATTCATTTTAAAATTATTTTATTACAGTTTTACCTCCGAATAAATTTACTATTAAAAACAACAATCATAACCCAAGTGGGAAACTATATATATACTACTTGGAGCTTTTATTTCCAAATCTCTTTTTCACCTCTTTACATTCATTTTAAAATTGTTTTATTATAGTTTGACCCCTAAACTGTATTTTTCATTTTAAAATTATATTTTATTACAGTTTTACCCCTAAAGTGTATCTTTGTTTAGAAGTTCCAATATTATACTGGGCCCTTTGAGATGGTCCCTCCTCCCTTGGGTCATAACAACCGCACCGTCCAAGCTATCTAATTGGCGGATTAACCTTTAAAAAATGGGGGGTCCCTTGGATTTAAGATTGTTTTTTCGAAAAATGGTAGGAACCAAATGTTTTACCAAATATTTTGTATGACTGTGAGACCTACACCATGTGAATCTACATTTGATAATAGGGTAATGTTAGCAATACCAAATTTTCTACCAAACAAATGACCAAATGTCTCACATTGGTGTGGGGTCCGCAATTTTGTAGACCCCACACCCATGTGAGATATTTGATCATTTATTTGGTAGAAAATTTGGGACCTCTAACATTTTCCTCGATAATATACTTGAAATCTTTTAACATTACCTTTTTTTTCCTTTGTATTTTCAAACTAAAAAAACAAAAAATTTAAAGAAAATAATCAAAGCTATTGCTTTGACTATTCAGACCACGTGGCAGGTAACTAGGCTATGAAGGTGATACAAACATTTATTAAAGTTAAAGAGGATGAATGAAGAAAGATTAAAGAGTTGTTAGAAATCCTTAGGATACTAATATGCTTGGTTAGGTGAGTCAAAATCATGAGTAAAGCCAATTCATACATTGATAACGACTTTTTCTTTCACCAATCAAATTTTATAAATAAAAAAAAATGAAGAGAAAAGGAAACATGATTATACTTTCTGATTCCATCTTCGTCCAAACATATACATTAGTTAATTACATCCCTTTACTAATTACCCAAAACACCATACCGCTAATTTTTCGAAAAGTGCACCCAACCCCAGTTTCACAGTTGAATTTACTCCTAATTACTCACCGACATTAACCTCAATTTTTCAATATATATATATATATATATATTAATTTTCTGCTTGCCTCTAGCTTATCTTTGTGAAAAAATTCCACCATCGCACTAACCTCTGTATGACCTGGCCAACAGCCAATTTTCTCCCAAGTATTACCCATTATATCAACTTACCAAAAATTCCAGACAACATTCTAGTATGCAATGCCATTTACTATACTTATACCAACTCCTCCATTTTTCACGTTTTTTTAGCACAAAGCATCACGTAATTCTCTCTAAGCAATCCTGTACCACGTTCATACTACACATTTTGGATTAGATGCTCTATTCCAAAAGGTTCCTGCCTCACTGTCTGATGCACCTACGCAAGTACATAGGACAAAGGATATGAACCTTTTGAAGACAGAGAATCTCAAATCTATTTATTTTAAAATTTTATGGTTCTTCTTCGAACATACAAGACATTAAAGGCATATTTGATTTGTCTCTCAAAATATATTTTTAGAAAAAAAAAAAATTCAAAAATATGTTTGGTTAAAAAAATTTTAAAACAAAATTCTAAAATCACTTTTCTCTCTATTAAAAATCAATTAATCTTTTTTTCTCTTTCATCTCTCATTCTCAATTACTTTTTCTCTCGCACCCATATAACAAAAATCAAATTATCCCAAACTCCAAAACTATTTTCAAAATATATAACTAAACAAATTTTCTAATTGTCTAAACCCTCTATAAAAAATTATTTTTAAAATAATATCTCAAAATACAAAGCTCTATTTTTTCGAGTTTCCCCAAACTATCACCACATAGTTCTCAATTCGAATTTTTGGTTATACTCAATTGGTTGATCTTAGCATTATATATGATCTTCTCTTACACTCTTTAGGTACCAAGTCATTAACTTCAAATATTGTAGAGAACCCCTCTTGCATTATGTGAAGAGGCACATTATTCTTGCTACATATATAGATAGAACAAAATAAAGTCATCAAATGGAAAATCAATCTTATCCCACCAATCAATCAAATTAATGTAAATTCACAATCCAAATTTATGTCTTAAATACTTTCCTCCTTTGCTTCTTTCCAAGCAACTAGGATAATGTAATGGAATAAAATAATAATTTATGAAAATATCTCCCGAAAATATATAAAATGATAGTACTACTACATTGCAAAAATCAAAATCTATGGACGGATCACAAACCAAAAAACACAATGAGAGAAAATAAAATTAAAAAATATATATGAATATATATAAGACTAAAGTGGCAGAGGAAATTAATTTAACGGTTTCACTGACGGGTATTCTAATTTTCTAAACAACTAGAAATTAGATTTTCCAAATCACGCGATTCGAAGTGTTCGATTAAAAAAAAAAAAAAGATCAAAGAAGAAGAAGAGAGAAGATGGTGAGATGAGTAAATTAATGAGTACCTTCTTGGAAGCCTTCTCAACTAGCTTTTTGACGAACATGGAGAGTGAAGATCTTCGGATCTGCAGCGAGAGAAGCTTCGAAGCGATCGAAGAGATCAGAAATGGCGATCACGATGATGAAAAAAAAGAAGAAGAAAGAAACTCTGCTTGGAGAAAATCGCCGGGGAGAGAGAGGGGTTTTAGTGAGAGAGTGGAACGGTTGATTACAGTTTTATTTTTGTATCTTTGTTTGTGTATTTTTGGTTTAATAGAGGCGGACACATGAGCGGTTTTGTATGCTTTTTAAAGGAGGGTTGGACGGTTGGGATTGAAGGGTAGGTATACGTGGCGGTCAATTTGGATATGATGCGAAGATTGTGAGGGAGAGAGAGAGAGAGAGAATATTTTGACGGTCTGATTTGATACCAACTGTTTGGAAAACGACAATAGACAGATCAGATAATTAATTGGCTAAAAATACAGATTAAGATAATACATAAATAATAAATATAAATAAAGAGAAATATTACAAATTTATCTCTACCAACTCATAAATTATTCAGAAAATTAATCTCCATTCCATTCTATATGGATTATTGAATTTCACAATAGATAAATCTATATAATAAGGGAGAAGGATTTTTGAATCTTGATAAGACTTTTGTCTATTTGTCAAAATATATACCATTAGATTGATTCAATCCAATGGTTGAAAATGTCCCACTCTCCTTTGGACATTTTAATGGTTCAGATTTTTTTGAGTGAATATCAATGCTTCAGATCAGTTTGGGTGAAAATGTCTCTCTCTCTCTCTCCTTTTTTCTCACCCTCAGAATTGAATCACAGAGACGTCTTCACTCTTTCTCTCTCTGATTTTGATTTCAAAATTTGAAACTCCATTCTCTCTCATACCTCTTCCTCTTCTCCTTCCTCTTCCCACCAAACATCTTCCTCTTTCCACCAAGCTTTCTTTACAAGTTTGATCTCCTATGGTGATTTTCGGAATACAGCCCCGGTGGTGATTTCTACCATCTGCCTCAATCTCTGCCTTCTCTCTCTCTACGCAGCTCCAAGGTAGAAAGCTGTCCTCCCTGTTGTTTTCTTTTTTCTGTTTCTTTTTTTGGGAAGAATCTAGGGTTTTTGAATTTTGATATGATAATCAATCTTTGTCTCCTCTCTCTCTCTCTCACTTTTCCCCCTCTTTTATTTGGGTTTGTTTTTCTATTTTTATTTTTATTTTGTTTGTTTGTTATCAGCACAGAAATATTTCAGTCCTGTTTGGTTGCCGAGAAAGTGGCAGCAACAGTAAAGAAAATGAAATTTCAGTCCTGTTGAATGGTCTGTTGAGTCATATTAATTTTTTTTAATGGGAAATTACATGGACGGTAATTTGTCTATTAGCGACCAAATATTTCTGATATTTCTGATCAATAGCGACAGACCATACAACCCCTCTCTCTGTGTTCTGTAGATCCGTTGCCCATTTTTCTCAGACTGTGCAAGTGATTCCTTTCTACAAGATGTGATGCCAATAGCTCTTAGATATTATATTTTCATGTTTATTAGTTTTTTGAAGAGAAGTTTCCTGATTTTCGGGTGATTGTGCTATAGAAATATTTTATTGTACAATTTGTATTAAAAACAGAAAACAATAACTCACCTAATTGGAAATACTAAAAAATTAAGCTAAACAAGAGGTAAAACAGTTATTGTAATTCATTCCTTAAACTCTTTGCCAAATGTTAACTAAGTTAATGCCTTTTGGCTTCATGCCAACAGTGTAGATAGAAATATCATACTTCTGAAACATGAGATTTGCAAACATCAGACAGCATGGGAATTGATATGATCAGTAATGTTTTATGTATAGAACACAACTTTTGATGCAATACATGAAAAAGTGTGATGCAATCCATAATGCCAAATGCATAACAGATCCCAACAAGCGAACTTAAGGCTGTTGAAATCTTCACCTCGCTAACTTCATATTGATGCAGATATTTTAACATATTAAGGCTGTTGAAATCTTCACCTCTGAACCGTACAAAAGCAAAAATCTTTTGGCTGTAGCAGTGATAGGGACAGCCACACTCACTTTATATGAACAATGTGGATCTACCTGCACATAATGCAGAAATCAAAACCTTTAATTTTTAAGATTGGAGAAATAGAACCGTGAATTGTATTAATCCAATATTGTATGGTTATTACAAGACAGGAAACTTATTAAAGATTAGATGACAATAGTAGTAACAAAACGGCAGTCTTCTCAGACCCTTGAGTTGAACTCCAGAGTGCTGGTGAAGAATCCACCATAACTGTCTCAGAATACAAATTTGGAAATATGTGAAGGCCTAATGTAGCATCCCAAGCAAGTGCTACAGGCGGGAAACAGTGCATTTTGCAAAGTCCTGCTACCAGGAAAGAGCTACCCTTAGCAAAAATAGAAAACAAAAACTTGATCAAAAGAAATGAAAAAAAAAAAAAAACACTTTGATTGTAAGGAAATCCAGAGATCATAATTTTTTAAGCTAAATGTTGAAAAGAAGAATAATGATGCCCCAACTGTCCAAATTTAAATCAAACCGAAGAAGATATACAATATTCAAAATACCAAAAGAACCTGAACCTTCGGTTAAGGTTTTTAGATTCATACTATCAAACCGAAGAAGATATACAATATTCAAAATACCAAAAGAACCCGAACCTTCGGTTAAGGTTTTTGGAAATATGTGAGTTTATCTTTATTGCTATAAAATTGTTAGTTATCTTCTTGATCATTAGCTTTGGTTAAGTAACTAATTGCAAATTTTGTTAGAAAGTTGTGGCAGTTGTTTTTAATGTCAAATTTTGGATGTTCTGTAAAATGTCTCAATTAAAATATTTTATTTTCTTTTGGTTAAACCAACTGCTTATATAATGATACTTTTTTGTTGTTCAAATAGTGAGTGAATCTATCATGACATGCCAAGTAAATGATTAAACAACCTTTCCTATAAAGAGTTTGATTAACAGTGCTTGAATGCACTTAGTGCTGGTAATGTGGATGTCCGAATTGATCAAAGTTATCTTAGTGAGTGAATCTATCATTTTCTACATTCCCTCCCCCCCCCCAAATAGTGAATGATACATGCCTTGGATATTTGGTAAGGTTAACAAAAATAGAGGTATATTCAAATTGGTGAATCAAACAGTGGGAGTTGGATCTTAGATAATGGAGCTTGCTTACTTATATTTTCTATTCTTCCTTTTTCTTTAGGTACATGCCTTGGCGAAGGAGTGTTTGATTAACTCATAAAAAGTTGTTATGGCTTTGTTTGCTACAATGGTTGATTAGGTAATTTGTTTCTTATCTATTGTTCAACTTGGTTTCATTTTACATGTTGTGAAAATTAAGAATCTTAAATTTTGTTCAACTAGGCTTCATTTTACATGTTGGCTATCTTCTGAATTATTAGCTAGGTTCAGAACCAAGAAGAGAGAGTACTTGATTTTTTTATGGTGATAATTTGGTTCTTCTATTTTAATTTTTGAATTTCATACAATTTTGATGATAATCATTGTGATAATTTTAGAATGTCTTTATGTTTGATTTTACATGTTGTGAAAATTAAGAATTTTAAATTTTGCTCAACTAGGCTTCATTTTACATGTTGGCTATCTTCTGGATTATTAGCTAGGTTCAGAACGAAGAAGAGCGAGTACTTGATTTTTTTTTTATGGTGATAATTTGAGTCTTTTATTTTAATTTTTGAATTTCATACAATTTTGATGATAATCATTGTGATGATTTTAGAATGCCTTTATGTTTGATTTTATTGTTTTTCAAAAACAAGATGTTTTACTTTGTTTTGATTAGACTCGACAAATTCAAGTTATACAATGGAAGTGTTGTGTGGGTGTATTAGTGAATGTTTTAAGAAATGGAGAGCAATTGCACAACAGTCCATTGAACAAATGAGTCTTTTTTTTTTCTTCACAATTTTGGATCTTTGTTTGGGAAACTAGAAGTTTATTTATTGAGTTTCTTTTTTAGGGGTGGAAGAGAAATAACTTTGTATATTCTTTTTTGAGGGAGTTTCAAGAAATAACTTTGCCTATTACTTTTTTCACACCCTATAACTCTACCAGTGTTTATAATCAATTAAAATTTTCATTTTAAAATTGAGACACTATAGGCACAATTGTATATTCATTTTAAAATAGATGTGAGCTTTTTTTTTTCTTTACAATTTTGGATCTTTGTTTGGGAAACTAGAAGTTTATTTATTGAGTTTCTTTTTGGGGGGTGGAAGAGAAATTTAGATTATGTTGATTCAATAAAATAACTTTGCCTATTACTTTTTTCACACCCTATTACTCTACCAGTGCTTATAATCAATTAACATTTTCATTTTAAAATTTAGACACTGTAGGCACAATTGTATATTCATTTTAAAATAGATGTGACAAACAAATGTGACTATAATAAATTAAAATTTTGATTTGATGGGTTAGAGTCAATTTTTTTTCTTCTTCTTCCCTTTACCCCTGTGACTCTTAACTCAATATATTTTAGTTTCATTGGGTGAAAATTGTCTGTTATTTTTTACAGGAGCTAAGCCTATTCTTTCCTTTCTTCATTTTTCTTTTTTTTTTTCTTTCTTTCTTCTTCTTCTCCTCCCATTTTTTTTAATTTTATTTTTCTTTTAGAGTGAGGATTCTAAGTTGTGATAAAAAAAAAAAAAAAAATCATACTTCCAGCTTTGCCAGTTATTTTGTAAGACTATTAATAATGCTGAGATTGGCTCAATGAGGTCTAGAAAGATTTTGTAAAAAGAAAATAGTGAAGAGGTCTAGAGTAACAAGAGCCAGTTTTAAGCCAATTGGCCGTTTCTTTTTTTCTTCAAATATTTGGTTTTGGAACTAAATTAATTTAGTAGTCCATCTCTGTTATTAGTTAGTCATCTTGGAGTAATGAGTGATGGGATAAACTTACTTTATACTTGAAGTAGTTTAAACCTGCTTTATACTTTTAATTGGATGACTATGCATAATGGTACCTCATAAGTGAAGAAGAAGGTGGTTTCACTTTCAACCCTTAAGGTTGGTGAAGTACCCTCTTAAATGTTGTAGGCAAATTCTTGGTGATTGATGGCTTCTCCTTTTTTTGTTTCAGCTATTCACTTTGTATTTATTTATTTTATTTTTTTTTTTCTTCTTCTTCCCTTTACCCCCGTGACTCTTAACTCATTATATTTTAGTTTCATTGGGTGAAAATTGTCTGTTATTTTTTACAGGATCTAAGCCTATTCTTTCCTTTCTTCATTTTTCTTTTTTTTTTCTTTCTTTCTTCTTTTTCTCCTCCCATTTTTATTTTATTTTATTTTACTTTCAGAGTGAGGATTGTAAGTTGTGATAAATAAAAAAAAAATCATACTTCCAGCTTTGCCAGTTATTTTGTAAGACTATTAATAATGCTGAGATTGGCTCAATGAGGTCTAGAAAGATTTTGTAAAAAGAAAATAGTGAAGAGGTTTAAAGTAACAACAGCCAGTTTTAAGCCAATTGGCCGTTTCTTTTTTTCTTCAAATATTTGGTTTTGGAACTAAATTAACTTAGTAGTCTATCTCTATTATTAGTTAGTCATCTTGGAGTAATGAGTGATGGCATAAACTTACTTTATGCTTGAAGTAGTTTAAACCTGCTTTATACTTTTAATTGGATGACTATGCATAATGGTATCTCATAAGTGAAGAAGAAGGTGGTTTCACTTTCAACCCTTAAGGTTGGTGAAGTACCCTCTTAAATGTTGTAGGCAAATTCTTGGTGATTGATGGCTTCTCATTTTTTTTGTTTCAGCTATTCACTTTGTATTTATTTATTTTATTTTATTTTTTGTGTTAAAAAAATAAAGTTCTCTGAAAATGATCTACTTGGATATTTGAGGTTCAACAGATGGATGGTAGCTTTCTTTTAATTAGTTCCAATTCATGTCTTACTCTTTCTCATGCGTGTTGTTGTATGTGTGTTCTTTTTATAGTTGTGTTGTTGTATGCATTCTTCTTTTGTCCACATTTTTTTGTGTGTTTATTTAACATAATTGATGTACCAAAGTTTTGAGCACAAAAACATATCATACTATAAATAGTTTTTCGATATTAGTTTTAGTGATATGTTGAATTATGTGAAAGTAATTAGAATTATATTTTTGTGATGGATAGTTCAAACTTTGTATGTGTTTTGAGATTATTTTTAGGTGTGGGTCATTGGTTAACCTCCCTTCTCTCTCTAATAGCAAGAGATCATGTTCGCATTTTTTATTCCTTATATTTTTCACTTTTTCCTTACTTAATAACCAGCATTCTATCAATCACTTTTCTCTATCCATAGTGTTTTTTTTTTTTATTAAGAAATTGTTGAAATTTTGGGAAATTTTGGTTGATTTTCATATGGGTTACAGTATTGTTAATTATACCTATCCTGGCATGGATGAGTTTTGTAAATTGGTGTTACCATTTATCCACAAACAGGGCATGTATTTTTCCTTGGTGTGTTGTCTTCCTTTATATCTTTAGTCATGTTATGTTTCACTAGGATTGTGTTATGCATGGATTTTTGAATGGTGAAGTCTGAGGTGCTGTTTCATGTCTTTTATTCTTTTTTCCTGGCCGATATTTATTTTAATTTTTCCTTTCCTAAACTTGGTGTATGTTTTCATTTGACTGTTGTTTTGGGCCTTAAGCAAAAGAACCCAAAATTCCATTATTTCCATGCATTTGTTATTCCTTGGTGTATGTTTTGGGCAATGATTAGACATTCTTCTGATTATTTCCATGCATTTGTTATTCTTGATTTAATTGGTCACCTTGAATATTTTAGCTGAGAATGTTATGGGGTTTGAGTGGGTTCTTTGATGATTTTTTAAACTTCCTTTACATCTTCATTTAGGGGAGAAGTTTTCAAAGATTGTAGGGAGTCCATACTATATGGCGCCGAAGGTTTTGAAGCGGAATTATGTTATGTGGGGTTCCTCCATTTTGAGTAGGTATTGTTTTTCTTCATGTAAAGGTTGCTGATATAAGTATGGTTATGGACCTATGGTGTCAATAGTCTTATGATTTGTATTGTTGAGTTGTTTTGCTCTCATTGTATGTTGTAGAAATGAATTGTATTGTTACTTTGGCAATTCTGCGGGGGTTGGTTGAGACGTATTCACAATTTTCAATTGAAGGTTGGAAGCAAAATGAATATGACTGTGTGATTTGGATTTTGCATAAGTCTAAATGGGGGTTTTTGGGCTGTATTGATTTGTAGATGATGGGGGAATTAAGTTAGTTAACGTTTGCTGTATTGATTTGTCAAGTAAAGAGTTTGCTTTTATTTTTATTTTTCTTGGTAGTGGGTTGGCTGCTTCCCATGAACAAACCAAATGGATCCAAAAGGATTGGTTTCATATTTTGTTTATGGGAGGATTTGAATAGTTGGAGCTATTTGATTATTTTTTATTTTTTATTTTTTGCAACTGCTGGTTATAGCATTTCTATGCACCATGTTATCCCATTAAAGGTATCCTAATTCTTTCATAGGATGCGTGGCTTCTATTGGGAATTAAGTTGTTTAGTTTATGAATTTTTTTTTAAATTTGTCATTTCAAGTTACTGAAAATGATAAATGATAAAAACATATATACTCATTTCTTATTGCAAAACATTTGTTTTGTCATATAGTTGCTTGGTCTAATTAATAGTTCCCTATTATTTGCCATACGTCATTTTAGCTACCATTTAAGCAGGTTTGTTTATGTAGTGTTGATTGAATTTTTTTTTCCTTTAGTTGGGCATAAATGCTTGTGTTTCTTTATGGTTTTGATTTCAATTATATGAATATGAAATGGGTTGAAAAAAATTGTTTGATTTATGAAATAGGTTACTATGGGATGAGATAAATCTTTTTCAATGAAATGTGTTTCTATGAATGGGTGACTTCTATTTGTTTTTCTGCTCTGAGATGAGATAAGTCTTTTTCTATGAATGGATTTTTCATGTTCAAAAATTGTCACTTAGTATGGAAGGTTGAAACGGTCATTGCGCTTAATTGTTATTTATTACCTTCAACTTGGTTTGTTTCTTTATATGTTCATAGAAATGATTTTTCATGCTTTTTGACACATTTATGTGGTTACTAATTGATAGTTGAAAAGAGCAAGCATTTGAAAAGAGCCTCTTAATCTAAGATTGGATTGGTAACATTTTATCAACAAAAATAATTTTGCTTAGGTATGTAAGGTTGTGTTTGAATCATAATTACTTTATATTTCCCTCATCTTTTCTCTTTCTTTTTCAAATTCCTATCTAAATTTAAATTGATATTCTCGGACATTTCAGATTCTTCGCTGTTGATTGTTAACTACCCAAGAGAATCAGTGCCTGAACCCATTTTGTTTATTTCATGTGCTCTAGGATGAACCCTAATCATGTGCTTGAACCCTAATCTACATAAAATTTACATAAGACATCTGATTAAATAGAGAAATTATGAAAATTTACATAAAACATCTTACCATAAAATTTGTCTTCCAATATATTTGGTCACAATATGGTAAGATATTGAGACAAAATTGTCATTCCAGTGCTATTTTGGTTTATCTGATTAAATAGAGACATTCACTTCTATATTAAAAAATATTTTTTTTTAAAAATAGGTGTTTTTTTATAGATATTTTTTAAATACACAGCTTTTTCCCTCTAGAAGTTCCTTCTAATAAAATTTTATATTTTCTCCAAGTGACAAGTGCTTAAGACAATTTCAGTCTCATATTCAAGTTCGAAAAGTCTTGAATCTCTTCTTCTATTAGATTTCCCTTTAATTTTTATTTTTTATTTTTTTTAAGATTGCTAAGCACTGGTTGGTGTGCATTGTTTGTTATTTAATTTTGAATTCTATTTTTCGGGATTGCATAGCACTGGATGGTGTGCTTCATTTGGAGTTTTGTAATTTTTTGGTATTGCAAAACACTAGATGGTGTGCATTGTTTGTTGTTTATTTTTAATTTTCATTTTTAAAAATTACAGAGCGCTGGCTGGTGTGTATTATTTGGTATTATTTTTAATTTTAATTTTTTGAAATTGCAGAGCACTGTCTGGTGCAGTGTTTGTTGTTTAATTTTGAATTCTATTTTTCGAGATTGCATATCACTGACTGGTGTGCTTCATTTGGTGTTTAGTACATTTTTTATTTATTTATTGTAAAGTATTGATAGATATACAATAGCTTTGGCTTGGTATTATTTGGTAACGAATGAATAATGAAAACGAAATATTTATGATTAAACAACAAATATATATACCCGTGCCTAGGGGTTGTTATCTTTAATTTAATTCTATAGAGTGTGTGGTACCAACAAAATTGTTGGAAGTGTTTTAAAAACAATATTTCTTTATATTTCTCAATGTCTTAAGTTTTTGGAATGTTTTTCGATAAATTACATTTTTATTCAACTACATTTTGATCTCAATATTATTTACATCGTGCCATTAGGCCCGAGCATACCTTTTATTCTATACTTTACATACCTCTTATTCTTCACTTTTTCTACTTCTTCTCTCAAAAATCATTTAACACCAAGGTAAAAATTTTATCTCTCTGTTTATGTACCTGCTTCTCTGTTTATGCACAGTTGGTATGTTTTATTTCATTGTTATTTTTTTTATTGTGGAGCACTGATTGTTGTGGTTAATTTGTTATTTGTCATTTTTTTTTATTGTAGAATATTGGTTGGTGTGCTTAATTTGTTGTTTTGCATTCTTTTTGTATTACAGAATATTGGCCGGTGTGCTTAATTTCTTATTTTGTATTTTCTTTTTATTGCAGAGCATTGGTTGGTGTGCTTAATTTGTTGTTTATTTATTGCAGAGCACTGGCTAACATATTTCGTCTGATTTTTATTATATGTTTGTGTTGTGGGACTTACATTTTGTTGTTTGTTTAAAATTTTATGCTTTTGTTGTGCTTGAATTTTATGTACCACTTATGTGTTTACTTTTCACTATTTCATTTACTTATAATTTTACATTCAATTACTTTTTCATTCAAACAATATTTTAACCGTGCCTTCAGGCACGGGTATACACTAGTAAAGTAATATAAGGAAACAAACAACCAGAAAAACGGACAGCATAGCGGCTTAAATAATCACAACACACAGTCGGTATGACAACACACAGTTGGCATTTGTAAGCTGAATATACTGTTCTCAACTACTGATCATTGTTTCTAAACCACTGCCCCAAATCTGAATCTGATATCCGCGGATATAACTGATTCTTGAAACACTGATGCCCTCAGGCCTGATGCCCAGACTTGCAAACTGATACATGCATTCCTGTAGAGACGCACTCTAAAAGCAGATAGCAAGCAAATAGGAGCCAAAACACCCCTATGGAGGGGTAGGGTTTCCCTATCCTTGTTTCGTCAAGAACTAGGGTTTCACTACACACACAGCGGTTTCAAACAACCTATAATCGGGTAAGTAACTTGTCCTAGTTTGGAATGGTCACTACGGATTCTGATATGCACTAGGTCGAATGGTCAAAAAGGGTGCCCCGGTAAAAATCAGGGTTTGTGTTCCCATTGTGGCAGAACCCATAACCGGTCAGCCTTATGGCACGCTTCTCAAAGCGAGCCTCCGGGAAAATCTCATTTTGTTCATTGGGCTCACTACAGTTCGGACTCAATGTCACGGTTCTTAATCTAATCTTGCAAAGTGCGATACAAGATTGATAAATCACCAAAGAGTCCAAGTTCGGCAAATCGTTTTGAAAAAAATTGATTTTTAGAAAGATTGGTTGGTGTGCTTAATTTGTTGTTTTGCATTCTTTTTGTATTACAGAATATTGGCCGGTGTGCTTAATTTCTTATTTTGTATTTTCTTTTTATTGCAGAGCATTGGTTGGTGTGCTTAATTTGTTGTTTATTTATTGCAGAGCACTGGCTAACATATTTCGTCTGATTTTTATTATATGTTTGTGTTGTGGGACTTACATTTTGTTGTTTGTTTAAAATTTTATGCTTTTGTTGTGCTTGAATTTTATGTACCATTTATGTGTTTACTTTTCACTATTTCATTTACTTATAATTTTACATTCAATTACATTTTCATTCAAACAATATTTTAACCGTGCCTTCAGGCACGGGTATACACTAGTTAATCTATATTGCACAATCAGTACCCAAAAAATTTTAGGTGGACAGGTCACAGGTCTAAGACTTTCCCATACATAAATAAAAAACAAAAGGCATGGAAAAATAACAAGGGAGGTGAGCCAGTTGAGTGTTACGATTAGGTTTGGTTGGGTTGGTGTTGGAACAATTTTTTTAGTAATGTTTTTTAAATTATTTTAATTTGATTATTATTTTTTTGTTTAGAATAATTTTTTTTATTTATAATTTTATGAAAACAAAAGTAAAATAATTATAATTTAAATGTGATATTTTATTTTATTATTTTATTTTATTTTTTAAAACTAACTTAATCCAAATCATCATTCTAAACAAGAGCTTAAGCCTTGTTTATCAACTTTTTATTTTAATTAAAAAGTTAAAAAATTATTATAAATAAACACATTATTCTCTTTATTTTTTTTATAAAATATCAAAAAATTATTAAAATAACTTATTTTCAAACAAGACTTTAGCCTGAACTGACTAAGGTGTTGTCGGGACCACTTGATCTTAGTCCACAAGCGACGACTTTGCTTCATCAAATTCGACAATCACACGCGGATATTTTTGAAACGTTCACGTCACTATTTCCAAACTAAGTAATGTTATGCTAGTAAATTTACCAAAATAAATTATCAAATGTCTTGATTACGTGGGATCTTTGATTATTTATTTAATAGAAAATTTAGAGGTTATAGTATTTTTTTCCCAATAGATAATGCTACATGTACTAAATTTTTTATCAAATAATCAAATGTCTTACATAGATGTGGTTATAGTATTGTTCTTTCCAAATGGATAATGCTACATACACTAAATTTTCTACCAAATAAACAAGTCTCACATGGGTGTAGGATCCACACGTGAAACATTTGATCATTTATTTGTTAGAACATTTGGGACCTATAACATTTTTCTTTCCAAATTGATTTTGCTTTCTTCATCTTTCTTTCTTTTTTTTTGGGGGTTATTTTTGATTTTTTTCTTTAAATTTGTTCTTTTATAAAAAAAATATATAAATTAATTTG